TAAAACCTTTTGCTAGTGACCATAAGACCGTAAACTCCATAATGGAGTGTTCCTTGAACCCCAAACTCACTAGCTATGCCCTACAACACTTGGTTGCAACCCTTGTGATCTTTAACACTTGAAACAAAGTGTTACCATGTTCTAGAGTGTCTTAAATTAAATTATTAGAGATCAAGTGCCTAACTAGTTATTTATATATTGATTATATGATAACTAGGCTAGTTGTGTGTGTACAAGTCTCCACTTGTCACCTAGCATCGTATCCGACACTTCAATCCAATCCACTCACTACAGGTGAGTTCATACCCCTAAATTAACCTTTTAAATGTTTTCAAATGTTTATAAATACTTTAATTGGCGGGGGGGGGGGGGGGATACAAGTAGAAACCAACATGCTATAGAATCAATCACATGTGATTTATAACTGTGTTTTCATCCAACTGATTTCACATGCTTTAAAATGCGATGTATGAAATGGTTTTCTATCTTAAAAATACTTTGTTATCAAATGTATTACTTTTGAAATGTTTATTAAAATGACATCAAGCATTGTTAATTATTGTTCAAAACTTTTAAATGTCTTACAAAACCATTTTCATCTTCTTGAACAAAACTATATCTATACACTTATATTCTTATGTATGTAATGATATGATAGCTTTCATCCTTCATTCAGTTTCCCACACTCTTGTGTAACAAGGGTGTATAAACCTGATTGGACAATCAATTACCTTCCAGTTAACTATTATAGGGATAGTTGGAGATACAAAACATTATTCCTATTACAAGGAATTACACCAGAGTCAGTTCATTCATGAGTCTATACTTTACATTACATGTTACATCAATACATCTACATCGATATGCTTACATGAATACATTTACATATATGCATTTATTTGTATACACTTACATGGTTACTTGTACCTAGATTTACTATGATGAGTTACTAGTACATTATGTGTAAATTGTTCTGCTTATCCTAGTTCAAAAGGATAACTTGACGGGACTAACCCATCTGTTAGCAACAGAGGTAATGAACATCTACGGATGCCTACAGTTAATACTTATATTAGGAGTACCTTTACGGGACTAACCATTCCTTAAACCTGCTGCTAGCTACAAAGGAAAATGAACAATCTACGGATGTTCAAGGTTATACATTTCGGCAGTCGTGATGTCGCATTTATCCTAATGGAAAAGGATAATACTTTTATGGTTATATTTTCCCTATTACTTTTATTTTGTGTTACATTCACATAAACGAGGAGGTAGACTATATATTGTAAATAGTTGTCATAAAAGGGAAAACCATCTTTGTTACAACAAAACATACAGGTCTTGGTAGAAGACTACTTTCAAAACATTCGGGTCTTGGCAGAAGACTTCTCTTATACTGGTAGGAAATATGGGATTTTCCAGGGATTTTCATACTTATATCAATTGTTTCATTCATATATTTACATGGCATTCATAACAGCTTTCCAAAATAAGGCAATGACACTTAAATACTTATGAATTCACCAGCTTTATGCTGATACTCGCTTTCAAAATAACTTGTATTCTCAGGTCACCCGTAGACAGGTACGATGGCCAGGTTTTGAGAAGACGGAGCACAGACAAGACTCGTCTTTTATTTTGATTTCATATTTTGGTGTCTTATTACTTTTAAAGAACACACATGTATTAAATATTTACTTTTAATGCAATGGGTGATGTTGTTACTACTTTGCATTGTTGTGATACTGTACATGACGTCCTCCAGCCCTAAACGTTTCCGTCGTTCTTGGTTTTGGGGTGTGACATTTACTGATTACCTAAGAATACAAGTAGTTTTCAAAGATTGTCAAAAATTAAGTAGGTGAGTTCATAAGCTTTTAGATGTACAGTTTGAAAACCCTGGTTAGTGCGAGAAATTATAGTAGTTTTATTAGACAAAATAAAACCGAGTGTTGTATCTCGAGTTTGAAAACCTTTGTTTGTAAATGATATATATAACCAAGAAAAATACAATATTTTCCTTAAATAACGTTATGTAGTCTTAAATCCCAAGACCTAGTGAATGCATGTTGTTTCGTATTTGTAACAACAAAAGTCAATTTAAATGGCTAAATCCCTTTTTAAAGTAGAAATCCTCGTAAGCTATATGTGTGTCGTTATCTCCCTATGTGAGTCGCTATAACCATACTATGACAGAGATGACCTGCATGCGACGTTCTTCAGGCGTCGAAATAGATATGACATTTGTCACCCTTACTGGCCGGTCGTACTGTGGGAACAGTCAAGGGTGTGGGTTTTCAATCCTAATATAGATCTATACACAATTATCACGCTCTTCCTACAAGAGATTCTGGTTATAACTAGCAGGTGTTTTAACCCGTACTCTAAGAATACCATGAAGACTAGTCTCACAATTTACGCTAACAAGTTTATGTGTAGTGTGAGTGTCAAATCCTTCTCTGTAGTGGGATTGAAATCACCGTTTATCTTATATGTTTGAAAAGTGAAATCCCAAACTATAACATTTATAGTTCGTTGTGTAGTATGTAGTTATTTAGCAATAACATAACTATACTTATTATGTTTCATCATATTCTATATGTAGTAAGAAAGGACTCTTACCATTCAGTGATTATTTTCTGTTATCTACATATATCACAATAGAAAACACGTGCAAAATAATGATTTATCAAAGTTTAACACTTTGTTCAACATGTTACAATGTGTCGTGAAAGTATAAGCTGTTGATTCGTTTTTAACATTTATGCACTATTTTAGAAAAATTACAGAAAAATCATACGATGTCGAAAACTATATCCGTAAACTCTGAGAGTTTAGAAAATATGTCTAGTTTGTTCATAAATTTCATCATGACTTTTAGGAGTCTCTAACTGGTGTGAAAACTTTCATATTCACAGATTGGTCCGAAGTCGTTGTTACAGTGATATGCAGTTTTGTAGAATTTAAAGCTAGAATTAGTGGATCAATGGTTTTCGCTTGACGTATGGATGATCAGTGTGGTGTTATAGCTTCTGCATAAGGAGTTATTGATGAAGTAAATGTCGAAGAAAAATGAATGTGGTGGTTCAATCTTGGGGGAGAGTTAGTCATTCCCTGAGTAGAGGCTTCTTCCATATCAATGTTTGATGTTTTGGTATCAACTTCGGATTCATCATCTTCGTGATCAACATCTTCTTCTTTATCAACAGCATCATCATCTTCATCCCCTTCATCATCCTCTTTATTAAAGTAATAGGATTCAACTACATAAGGATTTGCAACCCAATACTCTACGCACCGAGTAAGATGTATATCCCCATCAATGGGACCGCATTGATAATCTTTGATGTGAGAATTGGAAGTTGTATGTAGACTCCATGGTTGACATTGTAACCCTATATAGTACGAGCCAAGATTAATGCAAGCCAACGAGGATATATAACTTAGGTTGGATTTTCGTTCCTAGTAATACATTCAACCAGTTGATAAAAGAAAAAGTCGAGAAAAGTCAAATCTTTTGTTGTAGTCCATGACATACATAATCCATTGCTCAAACGGGTTCAACTGATTTAAGCTACTAGTCTTATGTTCAAGACACTTGCCAATTACCCTTGTCAAATACTTCCACCTGACATAATAACATTGATGAAGGGTATTTTTATTTGGATCACGAGTGGTACCCAGAATAGAGAAATTATACCCTAATTTGGGTCGAAGAGACCTACATTTTTATACAGAAAGAGTTTCTGTGTAGTTTTCTGATTGAGGAAGTCGTAGAGCGATTCGAAAAGAGGCTACGTTGATAACAACCCCAGAATGATTATCTCCAATAGTTTCGGTGATGGTTTGAGCTTAGCATCGACAATTCAAGAATAGTAAAACTCACACACTTTCTTAAGATACAACGGATCTGGAAAATCACAAAATGCATAACGAAGAGGATATATTTTGACATAGTTGTCATATCTTCAATTCTTGAATTCTTGTATTGATTTGGGATCATATTTGAGAAGGCAACGTTGTTTGCTTGGATAACGATAGGAGTGTCAGGAGCATGGGGGCCTTTGACTACATTATCATCGTGAGAAAATACATAGAGAACCTTTGACATGATGAAATCTTGAAGAACTTGAGACAAAGAAGATGATGATCGAAAGAACTTTTGTGAAAGAACTTCAACTGCTTTGATGAGTTGTAAAAGTGACATAAGAGAGAGAGAGAGCGAGGGTGAGGGAGAGAGAGAGAGAGAGAGAGAAATATAGAGAGATATACAAACATGATCAAAATGATCACCACGGTTTAAATCGAAACCCCAAAAAAATGTATACTATATAGACTATTTTTGCAATTTTGTCTACAAACAATTTCAAATAACTCATGGATAACTAACGTACCTAAATACGAATAAAAATGACTTGGGAAGGTAATCAAGTATTCAGTAACTTCACATCTGGGTAACTATTTTTTTATTTTTATTTTTTGTACACATCTAGGTAACGACTATCTCCGAATTTGTAGCTATAGTGATAGATAGTTTTGTAGAAATTTGAAGAGTAATTATACTATATAGGCCTATAGGGCATAAGATAAAGACTATCTCCGATCCATTATTATCATATCTTTAAATTTACATTTCTATAAATATTATGAATATCTTTTTGTTTATGAATATATTGTGTTTTTGTTATGAATAAATAAATATATTGCTTTAGAAAAAATTAAAATGTAAAAGATACATATAATGTGTAAACAGGATAAACACAAATAAAGGTAAAAACAGGATAACGCAAATAAATTAACCGGCTTTAAAAAAGTTGGAGGTGTGATGAATCCAAACGACCAACTACAATAATCCATTAAAATATATTAAACAAAATTTTTAACAGGAAAATTGAGTCGTCTGACCTTAATAAATGATTTTTAATAAAAATAATTTATTTTTTTAAAGTAACAATCTGGAACATATTGTTCCAGAGAGGTCTCCTGAATTATGGAGTATGATTCCGGACCATGGTTCCGAAACACTTTTTCCCCGTTTTTTAAGGGTTAGATTCCAGAATGCCTCCGAAACACTAGAGTATGATTCTGGAAGACCTCTTGGACACTGAAAATATTAGCATAGTTTCTTTCGATATCAAACCTTGTTAATGCTATTGGCACTAAAAATGTTAGCATAGGGTTTTATTTATTTATTTATTTTTATTTTTTGTGTTAAACTTTTATTTGTGTAAATGTGTTTTTTTGGAAGTTTTGTTTATATATTAAATAAAATGTAACTGAAATGAGATTGGTAGTGTTATAGTGGAATATGTTGATGAATCCGATGAGGAGGAGGAGATTATTGTAGAAGGGAAGGGTATTGTTAAGGAGAATGAGGTATCTACTGCCAAATTAAAGGCTGGAACTATTATCAATAATATAAACTTTGAACCTTCATTGATGGGTGATGCGAGTAAACGGATTCCGGGTTTAGTTGATGGGATATCTGATTTGTCTCAGGATTTTATTGGTTTTGGGCAAGGGAGTAAAGTTGTCACACCCCCGAATCAAGGATGGCGGAAACGCTTGGGGATGGGGGACATCATGTGTAGTATCATAACAAAGAGTATAATAGTGATCAAAGTAAGTACAACCATTATAAATATAATCGAGAAAGTTACATGATTTCACGAGTTTACATGTTTCAAAATCGATTACAATATAATGACAAAAGTGTTTTCCTTGATGCCGTAGGTTTCCATCCTCAAAAGCTGGTAGTTACCTGTTTTACTGATTACCTGAGAATACAAGTAGTTTCGAAAGAGTGTCAACAATTAAGTTGATGAGTTCATAAGCTTTTGGATGTACAATTTGCAAACCCTGGTTAGTGCGAGAAAGTATAATAGTTTTATTAGACAAGATAAAACCGAGTTTTGTATCCCGAGTTTGAAAACCTTTGTTTTAAATGATATGTATAACCAAGAAAAATCCAATATTTTCCTTAAATAACATTATATTGTCTTAAATCCCAAGACCTAGTGAATGCGTGTTGTTTCTGTCACACACCCGAACCAGACGGCAGAAAGGTCCGAGGGTTCGCGTGACTTATATTGAATATCATCACAATGAATATACATGAATCATAACATAAACATCACCATGCATAAATATAATACAACTGGCATTGTTCACATCAAGTACATTGTTTTAACGATTCAAATCCATACATAAATTGTTTGATAGTTTACAAAAGCGAAACACACTAACATACTTGGTACTTATTCCTCAGCTTACTTGTTACATGAGAATACAAGTTATTTTGAAAAACTGTCAACATATGGAATGTTGGTGAGTTCATAAGTAGATTTGATATGAAAGTGCTTTGTGTAGTTTGAATGAAAACAACCCAGAAAATTCGATATTTTCTGAAAAGACCATTGTTTATAAAAAAAAGGTGTGAAGATCCGTAAATATATGCATGATGATTTCAAAACATGTATAATTGAAAAACTTTGTATTAAATGTACAAGTGAAATGTTGAACTTCCCCGCAAAACCCGATGTTTTCCAAAATATAAATATCATATAACGGTTTGAATGGTTATCCATCACGTGAATGATTTTGAATTACCTTGATTACTTGATTTATATTGGATTTATTTATGTGTGTCGTTATAACCATGCATGATAATGACTAGTTCGTCTGTCTTGGCACTCTGGTGAACGCCGGAATTGATCTTAAGATTTTGTCACCCTAGATTAGCCGAGTCAAACTGTAGCGAACAGTTGAGGTGTGGGGGAGTCACCCCCGTATAGATCTATACACAAACTCTTGCTCTCCCTCTAGGAGACTTTGATTATAACTATAGACTACGACCGACACACGTTGGTGCCACCCGTTATTACTCACTAAATCGCAATTGAATTTGATTACTTTTGATTATCGACCTGTATTTGTTTACTTTGATTACGCATAGGCCTAACAATCAAGGAGAAGAGGAATAGAAGCCCTGCTACCTTCGTGAGTTTTTTAGGCTGTTGGGTATACGAAGGACACGTTGGCCCATTTCGCATTTGATTACTTGGACCTTACTAGAAATGCTAATGGGCCACTAAGGCCCAATAACACTTAAAAACCATTGATGGTCCCTTAAATATGAAATTGGGTCATAGAAGACCCAATAACATTTATAATTATCTCTTGGGCCCAAAAATCATGTTAATGGGTCACAAAGGCACAATAGGCATGTTTGGAAACTTTCAAGCCCAACGAATTTAATGTTTACTTGTTTTAGGTATAGTATAGTTGTTGGAATGTTTAATTGAACAATTGTTAAATTTGTATCGTTACGAGTCCGGTTGGTCATTTGTAACGGTATTTCGAAATTTATGTATATTCATCTTGTCAATTTTTCATAAGTTGTAGTTTTGTATTTTTGACTCAAATATCTTAATAATAAAATAATTGACTCAAAATATTGGTTTGACTCATTTTAGCCCTTCTTTAATAACGATGACAATTTTAATCCATTTTATAAAAAAAAGACATTTTAAGTCATTAAATCATTTTCTAGACACATTTGACATATAGACTTACTAAATTGATATTTTTAGCCGAAAACTTACTTTTTAACAGTTTCAGCCCTTCGAGAATAGTATTTTTTTGGTCACAGCCCAAACTTTTGCAACTTTTACAATTTTGGCCCAAAATCCAAAATCTTTACATTTTGGTCCTTTTTAGTAAAGAAACACATTTTGACCCTTGAAATAATTTTTGTTTACCTTTTTATCCCCTGTTTTGAGTAAGTTTTCATTTTAGCCCTTTAAAAATCAGAAATTTCGCAACTTTGAGCTTAGCATCGACAATGCAAGAATAGTAAAACTCACACACTTTCTTAAGGTACAATGGCTCTGGAAAGTCGCAAAATGCATAGCGAAGAGGATATCTTTTGACATAGTTGTCAAATCTTCAGTTCTTGTATTGATTTTGGATCATATCTGAGAAGGCAACGTTGTTTGCTTAGATAACGATAGGAGTGTCAGGAGCATGGGGGCCTTTGACTACATTATCATCATGAGCAAATACATAGAGAACCTTTGACATGATGAAATATTCAAGAACTTGAGACAAAGAAGATGATGATCAAAAGAAATTTTGTGAAAGAACTTCTACTGCTTTGATGAGTTGTAAAAGTGACATAAGATATATATATATATATATATATATATATATATATATATATATATATATATATATATAGAGAGAGAGAGAGAGAGAGAGAGAAAGAGAGAGTGAGAGAGATATGGGGCCTCGATTATCTTTTTTTAAATTGTTAAAATAGATAAAAACGAAAGAAAAATGGAAAATACATACCCTACGATAATATAGTAATTATAATTTTCGGAGGCGCCAAAACCATATATAAACATGATCAAAATGACCACCAATGTTCAAATCGAAACCCCAAAAAAATGTATACTATATAGACTATTTTTGCAATTTTCTCTACAAACAATTTCAACTAACTCATGGATAACTAGCATACCTAAATACGAATAATAATGACTTGGGAAGCTAATTAACTTTTCAGTTAGTTCACATTTGGGTAACTATTTTTTATTTTTATTTTTTGTACACATCTAGGTAACGACTATCTCAGAATTCGTAGCTACAGTGATAGGGAGTTTTGTAGAATTTTGAAGAATAATTATACTATATAGGCCTATAGGGCATGAGATAAAGACTATATCCGATCCATTATTATCATATCTTTACATATACATCTTTATAAATATTATTAATATCTTTTTGTTTATGAATATATTGTGTTTTTATTATGAATAAATAAATATATTGCTTTAGAAAAAAAATTAAAATGTAAAAGATAAATATAATGTGTAAACAGGATAAACACAAATAAATGTAAAAACAGGATAAAACAAATAAATTAACTGATGTTAAAAATGTTGGAGGTGATATGAATCCCAACGACCAACTACAATAATCCATTAAAATATATTAAACAAAATTTTTAAAAGGAAAATTGAGTCTTCTGACCTTAATAAATGTTTTTTTATAAAAATAATTTATTTTTTTAAAGTAAGTATCTGGAACACATTGTTCCAGAAAGGTCTCCTGAATTATGGAGTATGATTCCGGACCATGGTTCCGAAACACTTTTTTCTCCGTTTTATAAGGGTTAGATTCTGGAAGGCTTCCGAAACACTA